AGCTTGCTCTCACATCCCTTGTCCCCTTTTCATCACAGGTTACATGGCATTTTCTTCTCCGGAACTCCAAGCCCAGATGGAGGCCAGGGGCTTGGCTCCACTGCACTGGGCAGATGATGACGGGAACCCCACGGAACAGTACCCCCTGAATCCCAATGGCTCCCCAGGTGGTGTCGCTGGTGTCTGCTCCCCTGATGGTCGCCACTTGGCCCTCATGCCTCACCCGGAGAGGTCTGTGAGGCCTTGGCAATGGGCCTGGCGACCTCCTCCATTTGACACTCTAACCACCTCCCCCTGGCTCCAGCTCTTCATCAATGCCCGGAACTGGACCCAGGAAGGCAGCTGCTAAGCAGGCCGGGAGGCCCCGTGGTTTGTACCCAGGGTATCTTTAGAAGTACCTCATCAGTTCAGTTCAGTTCAGTTGCTCAGTCATGTCCGACTCTGCAACCCCATGAACCGCAGCACTCCAGGCCTCCCTGTCCATCACCAACTCCCGGAGTTTACCCAAACTCATGTCCATTGAGTCGGTGATGCCATCTAACCATCTCATCCTCTGTTGTCCCCTTCTCCTCCTGCCCTCAGTCTTTCCCATCATCAGGGCCTTTTCAGATGAGTCAGCTCTTCGCATCAGGTGGTCAAAGTATTGGAGTTTAAGCTTCAACATCAGTCCTTCCAATGAACACCCAGGACTAATTTCCTTTAGGATGGACTGGTTGGATCTCCTTGCAGTCTAAGGGACTCTCAAGAGTCTTCTCCAACACCACAGTTCAAAAGCATCAATTCTTTGGTGCTCAGCTTTCTTTATAGTCCAACTCTCACATCCATACATAACTACTGGAAAAACTATAGCCTTGACTAGACGGACCTTTGTTGATAAAGTAATGTCTCTGCTTTTTCATATGCTGTCTAGGTTAGTCATAACTTTCCTCCCAAGGAGTAAGTGTCTTGATTTCGTGGCTGCAGTCACCACCTGCAGTGATTTTGGAGCCCCAAAGAATAAAGTCAGCCACTGTTTCCCCATCTATTTGCCATGAAGTGATGGGACCGGATGCCATGATCTTAGTTTTCTGAATGTTGAGCTTTAAGCCAACTTTTTCACTCTCCTCTTTCACTTTCATCAAGAGGCTCTTTAGTTCTTCTTCACTTTCTGCCATAAGGGTGGTGTCCTCTGCATATCTGAGGTTATTGATATTTCTCCTGGCAATCTTGATTCCAGCTTGTGCTTCATCCAGCCCACTGTTTCTCATGATGCATATAACTTCAATAAGCAGGGTGACAATATACAGCCCTGACGTACTCCTTTTCCTATTTGGAACCAGTCTGTTGTTCCATGTCCAGTTCTAACTGTTGCTTCCTGACCTGCATACAGGTTTCTCAAGAGGCAGGTCAGGTGGTCTGGTATTCCCATCTCTTGAAGAATTTTCCACAGTTTATTGTGATCCACACAGTCAAAGGCTTTGGCATAGTCAATAAAGCAGAAATAGATGTTTTTCTGGAACTCTCTTGCTTTTTTGATGATCTAGCAGATGTTGGCAATTTGATCTCTTGTTCCTTTGCCTTTCTAAAACCAGCTTGAACATCTGGAAGTTCACGGTTCACGTATTGCTGAAGCCTGGCTTGGAGAATTTTGAGCATTACTTTACTAGCATGTGAGATGAGTGCAATTGTGTGGTAGTTTGAGCATTCTTTGGCATTGCCTTTCTTAGGGATTGGAATGAAAACTGACCTTTTCCAGTCCTGTGGCCACTGCTGACTTTTCCAAATTTGCTGACATATTGAGTGCAGCACTTTCACAGCATCAGGTACCTCATATTCCCAAATGTGTCTTGAACAGACAAGGACCAAAATGCCAAAAAAAGACCTCAGCTAATTTTATTAATCTGCCTCCCTTTGTCTTACGATGTTGGATCTGTTTTCAGTCCTGTTCTTGGTGGGCCCAGGAAGCAGCATGTGCTTCAGAGAAAGAGCCTATCTGGGAAGTTGGCATGCATGCAGGCTGGGGGTTTCCATTGCCCCACTTCACTGCACCACGTCACTCGTGTCACTTTTCTGGGTTTGGAGGGGATATCCTGTGTCCCATCCCCCTATCATCAGGGTTTAAGGGGGTGGGGGTGGACAAAAGCATTAAAGTCAGGAACTAAGCATTCTCATCTGAAAGACAGCTGAAGCTTTCTTTTTAAATGGATTCTTTTTAAATGCAGCACTGTGCTAAGTGGTAAAAGACTTTGGCAGCTTCTCTGACAGTGTTTCTTGCTGTGTCAGGAGTTGCCCTGGTGCAGCCTCTGAATTCAGTATTCCTGATTTTTGCTTCTCCTAATTTAGCAGCTCCCTTCCTGACAGAAATGGTCAGCACTCTTATCCCCCCCCACTGAGCCTTTAATATTCATTCCTTCATTCATTCTACTCATGGTCAATGATTCGCAACAGTGCCACACACTGTCAGTGCTGCCAGGGACCTTATAGTCCAACAGGATCTGTATGTGGTGTGTATATATACACGACAGACTATTATAGCTGCAAGAAAGAAGGAAATCCTGCCATTTGCAACAACATGGATGGAACTCAAAGGCATGAAACTAAGTGAATAAGAGAAAGACAAGTACTGTATGATCTCACTTATATGTAGAATCTAAAAGAAGTTGAACTCATAGAAACAGACTAGAATGGAGGGTGGGGGGAAAGGGAATGTTGGTCAAAGGGTACAAACTTCTAGATTATTTGATGAATAACCTCTGGGGATCTAATGTACAGCATGGTGATTGCAGTTAATAACTGTTGTGTACCTGAAAGTTGCTGTAAGAGTAAATCTTAAAATTAGTAATTATGTGATGTAGGTATCCGTGGGCATGCTAAGTCACTTCAGTCATTTCTGACTCTTTGTGACTCTGTGGACTGTAACCCACCAGGCTCCTCTGTCCATGGGATCCTCCAGGCAAGAATACTGGAGTGGGTTGCCATGCCATCTTCAAGGGTATCTCCTCGACCCAGGGATCGAACCTTTGTCTCTTGTCTCCAGCATTGGCAGGCGAGTTCTTTATCATTATTGCCACCTGGGAAGCCCAGGTGTGAGGTATGGTGGTAATCATTTGCTTGTGCGTCAAGTCAATACATTGTACACCTTAAACTCACGTAATGTCAATTATATCTCAATAAAACAAACAAAAAAATACCTGTATACGGTACCTACCATGAACCAAGCATATGCTAGGCATTTATATGTATCTAAATTATTTTTCATAAGAGTTCAGCAAGGTACTTGATAGCCCCCTCCCCCTTTTTTAAAACAAAGGAAGAATTAAGGTTAAATAAATTGCAACATCTGCTTCCTACTGTCCTAAAGTCACATTTCCGGGAGGCAGCATTGTCAGGACTTCTTGCTGACAGCCGTCCTTGCTTCCTTTGTCCAGAGAAGTGTATGTAGAAGTTTCTCATGACTGCTGTGACCGCCCTGTTATACAGCTCCCTAAGTAGCTCACCATCTTGGAAGTTTCACCAAGGAAATTCTTTTTGGTGGTCCATGAGAGCAGGAACTCCCTTTCTGCCCTCCACTGTATCCTAACACCTAGCACAATGCCTTTCACTTACATGGTGCTCAATAAATACATATTGAACAAATGAATAAATAAGAATTAAAATTAGTCAAGGTTGATATTTTTTCCCTTAATAGAAGAGTGAACTTAATGAATTGAGCTTATGGGTAGTTTTGTTTTGCAAGCCTTCAATCATTTCCCCTTTTTATTTCCTTTCTCCAAAGTCACAAGCTCTTGTCATTGTGTCAAATGAAGGACAGTATATGCATGTGTTGGGGCAGATGTGGGGGGCTGGGGGCGGGGGGAGGTGGTGGTGGTGGAGAGATGGGGAGAACAAGTAAGTCTTGTCTCTCTTAATTTAAACATCTGTCTGGCAGCCAACAGCCCTCTTCAGTTTCACAGAAAAAGCACTAAACAGTGTGCATCTGATATGTGTTGAATGAGGGTTCCAGGGGGTTCAGGCAAAAAGAGGAGGTTGTGTGTGCAGAGGTCCAGATAGGACCTTCCCAGAGAGGGGAGCCAGGCAGTTGTGAGTCTGTGGGAGGAGGACATCTTCAGCAGTTGAGCCTTCAGAGGCCCCAGGGCCCCATAAGATGTATTTATTTCTCCAGCATGTGCTACATTCAGAACGCTGGCAAAGAAATCAAAGAAATCTTCAGCCTGTTGTTAGACACTTGGGGGCAGCAGATAGCCAGATGGTAGAGTCTGGGGCACTGCTGTGGTGGGGCCTGGGTTAGAGACCTATCTCAGGCTTCAGGAAAGACCTTCCTGTGTGAGTAGCCCACTAGGAGTACCAGCCACTATGGGCCGTTTTCCCCTAGAAGGGGTGGCTTTGTACAACTTTGTCTGCCTGGTCAGGCTGGAGGAACAGCCGGTGGCTACATGGACAAAGGGTGTGAAAGAGAGAGTCCTGTCCCACTTGTCATCCAGGTAAGAACATTGTCAAGGGCCTCCTCCCTGGGCAGGTGCGCACACGGAGGGAAGACAGACATGAAGCAAATCATTTCAATGAAATATCTTTTAGAGGAATCTCAGGGTACAGGTGGGAGCTCACAGCAGGAGATGCGGCCCAGACTCTCAGGATCAGGGAAAGATTCCCCAGATTAACTGAGACATGAGGATTGAGCAGCAGCTGGTTACAAGAGTGGGGAGGGAGCAAAAGCTAAAGATACTTGCAAAGCCTCAGGGGCGAGCAGTAAAGCGAGTTAAGGAACTGAACAAAGATGAGTCTGTCTGGAACATTAAAACAGGACAGGCACGATTAAGGGCCTAACAGAGCATGTCAAGGAATCTGCATTTTATAAACCACCTGAAGGGCGTTATATGAAAGCAAGACATGATCACTCCAGCTGCAGAGAAGGAAGACAAGAGAGGATGTGAGAAAGCCCATAAGCCAGAAGGTAGAGTCTGGGGCACTGCTGTGGTGGGGCCTGGGTTAGAGACCTATTTCAGGCTTCAGGAAAGACCTTCCTATGTGAGTAGCCCACTAGAAGTACCAGCCACTATGGGCTGGTACTTGCTCCAGGTACTTTGCATGCTCCAGACAGAAATAGTGATGTCAGGACCAGGGTGGTGGTGGGTAGAATCACCAGGAACTGGATGTGAAGGAAAGATAGGGGAGTTGATGGTGAAGTGCAGATTCTTTTGGACCACTGGGTAGGCAATAACTTCATTAACTATAGAGGAAGAGGGTGCATACATGGGAGGAAAATGATGTGCTTTGCTTAGGACTGTTGAGTTTGAGGTGTCAGGGGGACACATGTTTCCACTGCAGGGTGCATGGGTTTGACCCCTGGTCAGGGAACTAAGATTCTGCATGCCACATGGGTGGCACAGCCAAAACAACAACAAAAAGAGATCTGGGATGGAGATGGAGATGAAGGTTTGGGAGGCACTGGTCTATGTATGGGGAAGGTTATTTGGGAGGAGTGAGGAGAGCCTGGGAACATTGAAGGGACTGGCACAAAAAGGAGGCTGAGAAGGAATGGCATCACTAACCTCACAGCCTAACCAACTGGCTTCCCACTTCCCATGTCACTGGAGCATCCTGGGATGCCCCTGGGAAGGTATCCAGGCCAACAGAAGGGACTAGGGAATCATTCTGTTCTCCTTACCACTGAGTACTATCTCTGCTGACCCTGTTTTCACAGCAAGGCGAACTCCTCTCTCTCTTAGATCCTTTCCCTAAGTAGTACAGACAGCCCTCTCGACTCCCAAATACGACATCTGGGGAAGATGACAAGGAAATGGCTTGGCAAAACAAAGCAGACGAAAAGGCTAAATTATGTGCCAATTTGGAACTTCCTTGATGGTCCAGTGGCTAAGACTCCGCACTCCCAACACGGGGGGCCGGGGTTTGATCCCTGGTCAGGTAACTAGATCCTGCTTGCTGCAACTAAAGAGCCCATGTGCTGAAACAAAGATCAAAGATCCTGAATGTTGCAGCTAAATATTTTTTAAAAATTATAATAAAGACATTATTATGAGCAGGGCTCCATGGGCTTCACCAAACTGTCAAAGAGGTACATGGAAGCAAAAACGTTAAAAACCCCTGCTTGGTAGAAATATACCTTGCCCTTACTCTAAAGGGATGCTTGACTTTGGGTGTTGAGCCATCTCTCTGATCTGAGTCCATCACTTCCACCTCTTGGTGCCCCCAAAGGTGATGGGGTGGGGGCTTGGGGACACCTGAGCCCAAAATAAAAAACTGCATCAAATGCATGCAGAGCACTGGAAGAAGGAATGTCCCAGGGATAGAGAATCAACCAGTTGCAGGCCTACTTCAACAGGTGAGCCAGGAGCTGGACATATGTTCACACTCTCTTGAGAAAAGTGGCCTAATGAGATCTCTCCCATGATACGGGTCATCCTAGTCACAGCCAGATGGACAAAGAGATCTTATCTGTGTCTGGGTATTGGCCTGGGAAATGGCCAGGCAGGACAGCTGGCCAAAGAGGTACTTTCAAATTGGATGGCAAAAAACTGACCTAATTAGATCCAGCCTCTTGGGAAGTTTGAACTTGAACATGTAGAAAGAGTCAGCTGTTGGGGAGCCCATTAGTGACAGATGAAAAAAGGTGAAGGGTAAGGGAGAGTCAAGAGCAGGAACTTGCCAAGTTGGGGCTTCCTTCCAACCCACTCCCAGAGGACGTCCAGCCCTGCACCTTGGTCACTTCCTGGAGGACTGCTTCCCACCATCTGGAAGAGCCCACCTAACCCGTGCCCCCAGAGCTCCAGAACGGTGGAGGGCCAGGCCTCCCCAGTATGTCATAGAGCATGACACCTGACGTGCCAGAGACCCAAAGCGAGGAAGTTGGGGGTGTTTTCCTCAGTCTCCGTAGTCTAGTCTCACCTCTTCCTGAACCACGAATAGGCCCTGAACCACGAATAGGCCCTCACCCCCTGTGCCCGGTGACGGTGTCCTGTTAACTTCTGTGTCCCTGCAGGCCCCTTTCCAACACTCGCTATCTGCTTGACTGCTCGCAAAGCAACCAGAGCCAGTATTGCCTCTAGCAGGGAGGACAGGGCAGAGGGCAAGCCAGTAGAAATGGGGAGGGAGGGACAGAGAGATGCTGAGGGAGGCAGCAGGGTTGACCCTGTGACTTGGTTTCCTTGGTTCACCTTGTCCAGACTCCTCCTCTTCCTCAGGCTTCTATAACAACACCCCTCCCTCTTTCTAATTCCTCATGGATCAAACAGTCCACTCTCTTTGCCTGAAACAGATTCAGATTCAACTACATCCATACTACCTTTAATCCTAAGAGAGGTCTGACGCTGGCTGTCATAAGTGAGGAGTCCATGCTCCTTAGCAGGTTCTATAACCAACTTGCACACGACCAACACTCCAGCCTCAAAGCTCCCTGCCACGGCACCCTTGCCAAACTGATATGCTCACATTCCCCAAAACAAGCCCTCTCATTTCCAGGTCTTTGCTCCTCATGTTCACCTTGGCTAGAATACCCCTAGCATGACCTGGTGAATTCTGAGGCAACTTTTAAGACTCAAGGTGGCACTTCCCTGGTGGTCCAGTAGTCAAGAATACACTTGCCAATGCAGGGGACCTGGGTTCGGTTCCTAGTCCCAGAAGATCCCACATGCCTCAGAGCAACTACACTGGTGTGCCACAACTATTAAGCCTGCATTCTAGAGCCCAGGAGCTGCAACTACTGAAGCTTGCATAGCCTAGAGCCTATGTTCAGCAACAAGAAAGCCCGTAGGCAGCAACAAAGACCCAGTACAGCAAAAACCAAACAAATCTTAAAAAAAAAAAAAAAAGACTCAAGGGAACTTCCTTGGTGGTCCAGTGGATAAGATTCCAAGTTCCCAATGCAGGGATCCCAGGTTCGATCCTGGATCCAGGAATTGTCAACAGATTCCACATGCCACAACAAAAGATCCTACATGCCACAACTGAGACCCAGCACTGCCAAAAAAATAAGTAAAAGTTAAAAAAAAAAAAAAAGGCTCAAAGTGTGCTCCACTGTTCTTTGTAAATTCCTGGTGGGGTAAGGGTTGGGTCCTAAATAGCCTATGTATATCCAGCCCTTTGCTTAAGGCCTGGTAAGATGACGGAACAAAGAATATGTGCCCCTTGGCCTCGGTGTAACAAAATTATTAGGGTCCAGAAGTATGGTGGCACTTGGAACACAGTGGGTGGGTTGGCCTCAGGATGAGAATACTCTAGCTCAGTTTTTGGGTGGCAAGTAGATGACATCTAAAGCCCCTGAGGGTATGGGTGGTCCCGTGGGTCTCAAAATTCACCCTCTTGGGTTTATTCAATCACTCAACAATACATGTCTGTTATGCTCTAAACACTCTGCCAGGTGCTGGGGCTCAAAGATGAATGAATCAATTAGCTGGGAGGATACACCTGAGCTGAAATTTTAAGACCACTCTAAAAATCTATAAAAGAAAAACAACAGTTTATTCCACGCTGCCGTCCAGGTGTGTCTGTGTGTGAGGGGTGGGGACCGCCTCCTCCCCACCCCTCCATCCCCTCGCCTCACCTCAGCTCCCAAGGAAAGATTTGAGAGGATTAGATATATAATCCCCAGGTTGGGTCTTGCTTTCAGGAAGGCATGAGGCCTGAATCCTAACCCGGTCCCCCCACACCTGGCCCCATTGTTTCCCTAATTCCCTGCATCCGGGAATTAGCGATCTGGTTGGCAGTCCGTTCCCTGTCAAGAGGCCCCGAGAGTAATATGGGGAGACCCTGAAACTATCCCTCCTCCACACACTTCAGGAGACCCCACAAAGACGTCGGTCCTTTGGATGAGTAACGGCCCCTAAGGAGATTCTCAAGCGACATTCTTAGAAAGTGCGACCCGTTTAAAATGAGGAGGTCGGTTCTCTGAGATCTGCTCTTACTGAAGTGGATCAGTGATGAAAATAGCCAAATCTGAGCATCAGAAGACCTTTTAGTCTACCTGATACATGATCTCTGTAGTTCTGAGAAGCTAAAGAATTTAAAATAAAGTGTGTGTGTGTTTGTGTGTGAGTAAAGGTGACAGTAGATTACTGAGAACTTTATTGATGGGTGAGTGTGTATGTGTGTGTGTGTGTGTGTATGAAAGGCTGATCAGTTCTGAGCAATGATGAAAAGGTTTTATTACTATGGACCTTTATAACTGTGAAGGTTTCTACACTTGATCTGAGCTCAGAATTGAAAATAAAATAAAATAAAATAAAATAAAATAAAATAAAATAAAATGAGGAGGCCGGGCGCGGGCTAGTGACCAAGTGGGCGTCACAAGTTCTAAACCGAGGTCTTACCTCCTAGTGGACCCTGCGGTCCCGCCCAGTGCCCTCCTGAGAGCTTGGCTTCCGAGAGCGGCTCCGCTGGGGCAACGCCCCCAAGGCGCGGGCGCCAATTGGCCAGCTCGACCGCGGGGCGGGGCCAAATCTTAAAGAGTCGGAAACCAAGGGCGACCTGGAGGCGGCCACGGCTGCAGAGAAACGCAGGGAAGTGATGGCACGTGACCCCATGTGGGTTTCTTTTAAATCTTTAATGCCTATACTCTAGTCTCAGGCCCATGGAGCCCACGCGAGACTATCCACTGTTCGGGGGCGCCTTCTCCGCCACTCTCCCTCCGGGGGCCATTGACGTAAGGTGAGACGGCCCAGGTACCAAAGGAATTTGACCAGGTGGGTTGCGGGAAGAAACCGGGGTCAACCAGGGTCTACCTCGCCTCTCTCCAGCGACCTCCGACCGGTCCCGGACAATCAAGAAGTTTTCTGCCATCGCGTGACAGACCAGAGCCTGATAATCGAACTTCTAGAGCTGCAGGCCCACGTGCAGGGCGAGGAGGCTGCCCGGTGAGGGAGGCGGGCCCGCGGCTGGCCAATGGGAGGACCTGAGCGGAAGGAGTGGGCGGGGCCTGTGGCTGGACGGTTAATCAGGGCTATGAGAACTCCAAGGGCAACGTGTTATCACTGGAAGCGAAAGAAGCTTAGGATTTAAGAGATGCTTGAAAGGGGGCAGTAACAAATGCCCCTCCCTGACCCTGCTCCCTCAACTCCAGGTACCACTTTGAAGATGTTGGCGGGGTGCAAGAGGCTAGGGCTGTGCAAGTGGAGACTGTGCAGCCCCTGGTTTTGGAGAACCTGGCGCTGAGGGGCTGCTGTCAAGAAGCCTGGCTCCTCTCTGGCCAACAGCAGGTAGCTAAAGAAAATCAGCAGGTGAGGGTCAGAGAAGTGTGAGACGTCCTGGAGGGGTGAAGGGGGTGGCGCTGGGGAATCAGGTAAGCATCCAGACTCTGATCTCTTTAGGTAGCCAAGTATGTGGCACTGCATCAGGCCTTGCTGCGGCTGCCCCAGTACCAGACTGATCTCCTGCTCACCTTCAATCAACCCCCGTAAGGACAGAAAGGGCACGTGGATAATGATTGGGTCCCCAGGGGAATTAGGCTTGGAGGGGCAGAATAGGGAGACTGGCTGGTGGGGGTCTCCAAGGAAGTGGGAGTCGGCCACGAGGTTGGGGTCACAAATAACCAGGTCTTCTGGGAAAATGAGAGCTTCAAGGCCTAGATGATGTTCTCTATCTGTTCCCCACCCCAAGCCCTGAGAATAGGTCATCTCTTGGCCCGGAAAATCTGTCAATTCTGCCCTGGAGCCTGGGTGACTTTGAACAGCTTGTGACCAGTCTGACCCTTCATGATCCCAACATCTTTGGTCCCCAGTAAGGAGCTGAAATGCTGCATAATGCTTCTGAAGACCTGGGGCTTCTGTTCTGCAAGGGGAACAAAGGGTTGGATATATTCCCCTAATTCCTTTCCAGTGCATAAACACAAGACACCTCCTCTCTGCAGAAATAAACTTGCTTTATAACCAATATAATCTCTGTGCCTTTGAAATCTAACAGAACACCTGGGTCCCCCCAATTCCCTTTGGTCTTGGACGGGTGGAGTTAAAATTATACATGGGATCAGAAGGGACCCAAGGCCGGCAGTGGAGAAAGGGAGGAAACACACTTGGGAGTGACAGGTTCAGCCCTGAGAGAGCGGTGTGAAATGTGCAGGAGTATAGGCAGGGAAGGTTTAAAGCAACACCCAGAAAGGGAAAGAAACTATCCCTTGTAGTGATTCAATCCTGAGAAATCAGATGGGGAGTGGTGTTGGCGGTCCTCCTCTGATGGATGAAAGGCCATCTGGTCAGAAGTCTCCCAGTAATAAAAATGGAGTCAGAAGAGTCCAAGGAGTGCTGATTTGCTGGAGTGGGGAAGAGTGGCTGTCGTTATTTGGTGTACATGTAGTAGACCGTGCGCAGCTGGTCCCAGAAGAAGAGGGAAAGGATGGTGTGGGGGCCAAGGCGGAAGTAGGAGGCACCTATTCCCTTGTACATGCCAAAAATGCCCTCTTTCCGAGCCGTCTGCAGCAGAGCGTCCAGTAACCCCCGGTACATGAGGCCCTGAGAGGTGGGAGAGGAAGAGCAGAGGGAAGCAGTTTGTCAGAGCCCACCAGGAGCCTCACATCAGCAGGCTGCATTTTAGGGTTCCTACCTGTACCCACAATCTGCTTTCCCCCATCCCCCAGCTTTCCCTGCCTGCCTGCACCCCAGGACACTCCCTTACCTTGCCCTGAGCATCTGTGGGCTGGTTGTATAGCCTTGTGCTGACCACGTCAAAGGGTGTCATGGCCAGGACCACCGCGATGCCACTCACCATGGCGGCCGCCAAAGCCACCTTCCAGCTCTGGGGTGGAAATATCTAATGGGGGAGGAAGGGAGAGCTCTGTCAGCCAATCGTTCAACCCCACAGAAAGGCCAGGCCCTGCACTGGGGATACAGGAGAGAGCTGGTAACTCAGGGAGCTTCCACTCCACCAGTGATAACACAAAGGAGGAAGAGCGCAAGGCACTGGGGACTCAGGCACACCTGGGTAGAAGGTTAGAGAGACAGTGACCCCCCCAGACTACCTGCTACCCCCTCACATTGAATGTCGGCACTGTCCCAATTCAAACTGAGCCCGCTTCAGCTTGCCCCCCACTTGCCCACATTCCCAGGGTGGCCCCACCCCTTTCCCAGGCAGTACCTCCCACTGGGTCATGAGGTCCTTGGTGGAGGAGAAGGTGCACAGCTGGGTGGAGGAACCGACGATAACTCGGGGCAGGCCGCCCAGGGCCCCACGCCACAACCCCACCAGACCATGTTTCTGGCCAATCTTGGTTAGTGCCTGAAACATGCCCTGGTGGGGGCCGGGGGAAAGACCATGGGGGCGGGGTTCAGTCACCCAAGCATCAGGGGCTGCTACCTCCTAACAGTGATAAGGATGGGTCCATCACAGGCACCCCAGTGTCTAGACAACCAGGTCCCTGTAGGCTTCGAGCAGGAATGTGGCCCTGTTATTGACCAACCTATCCTTTTCTCCCTCGCCACCCCAGAACTGGGCAGGGTATATGCAAGTGAGGACATTAGCAGGTCAAAAGGATGGGGCAGGAGAAACAGGTGCAGAAGACTAGAGGAACTGGGAACATAGGGGAAAGAGGGTTTGGGTGGATTCCAGGGGTGGAGTAGGGCTGAACTGATGGGCTGGGCAGATATGTGGCTGGGTTGGAGCTGCTGGGTACAGGCAGAAAGCTCGGGGAAGAAGGAAGAGAATGGGCAGGGACTCAAGCTGGGGGTTGGAAAACCCTCACCTGATGATTATACTGGTGCCCTACAGCGATTTCTGTGGCTGCCTGTGCTTGTAGGTGTGTCTTCACCTGGGGAAGAGAGAGTATTACAGCCTATGGCTCAGAGGTCAGCCTCCCACCTCAGAAACCCAAATGCCTGACCCCTTCACACTTTCTTTAGGGTGTTCAGCAATGAATATCCTTCTAATCTGATAATTATTGTTGTTCCTACTTAACAAATTGGTCATGAGACTGTGTCCCTTGGCTCCAATCCAGGGGGATGGATCTCCTAGCACTGCAAGGCACCCCACCCCCTCTACATCCTCCTTCCCTTGGGGTAGGGGTGGGGGATGGAGAATGGCAACCTTTCCTAAGACTGTTCACGTTAGATGAGACCTGGTGTCCAGACTCTTCATGCCATCTCCTATTCTCAGACTGGCAGACAGGATCTTCAGCCACTACCATGACCAGGCTCCAACATCAGACTCTAGGGCAGGTTGTGAGGGGTCCTCTGCAAAACTTGCTCTCTTGCCTCCAGCTGGTTTGGAGAGGTCACTGTCCCTGAATCTCATAACCTGGGAGGGAGACCAGATTACCTTTTCTTCTACAGACCTCACTGCCTCACAGTGTCTTTCCAGAAAGAGCACTAAGCAGGGCCTTGTTCTTGTTTAGTCACTCAGTAGTGTCTGATTCTTTCGCTACCCCATGGACTATAGCCTGCCAGGCTCCTCTGTCCATGGGATTTCCCAGGCAAGAATACTGGAGTGGGTTGCCATTTCCCTCTCCAGGTGATCTTCCCAACGCAAGGATCAAACCCACGTCTCCTGCATTGGAGGTGAATTCTTTACCACTGAGCCACCAGTGAAGCCAAGCAAGGACTGGACTGGTCCTAGCAATAAGCAGCTGTGTGATCTTGAGCTAGTCATTTCCTTTTCTGGGCCTCAGGCTCCTGACCCTTCACCTATACCAGATAACTCAGAGGCAGACTACAGGATGGTAATTCTGTGATGCCCAGGACCTCCCCCGATCCCCAGACTCTCTGAAATATATTAATCAAACCACTCATCTTCCCCTACACAAATCCACTTCCAACCTCAGTGAAGGCCCAGGCACCCACCCTGTACCAAAGATCTTCCTGGAAGGCCCCAGGCAAGACCCTTCTTCTCACCATGTAAATGGGGCTCCCCAAGTAGGCTCCCATGACCCCAGCCAAGGCCCCAGCTGCTGCGCTACGAACAGGGCTGAGTGTGCCTTCAGTCGTGTGCAGGTAGCCCCCAGCTTCCACCAGCCCGTAGGTGCCCAGCCGGATGCCGTTCATCAGAAACTGGTATAAGAGGGCAGGGGCCAGGCCCTTCTGCAGGGCCGCCAGGCCATCCACCTTGCCGATGGTAATGAAGGCATGGAAGACGTTTCGGTAGTGCCGTTGGTAGGTGCCCGGGGCCCGCAGTTCTCCCTGCAGCTGCATCCTGGTCTTCACCACCTCCAGGGGATTGGTGAACAAACAGGCACCACAGGCTGCCAGGCCGCTCATCAAGAAGTCCATGGTGGGACAGCAGTAGCAAGAACTGGTCCAGGGGTAAGAAGGTTAAAATTAACTTTAGAAATGGGGTGAGAATATCCTGGGGAAAGCCTCAGTTCCAGGGGTCCGGGCTGCAGGAGGTAGAAATTTAGAGGTCTGGAATCTATAGAGTGTCAGGGTCAGATGTCAAGAGGTCAAGGGTTAGCTGGAATTTGGGAGTCAGGAGACGGTAAAGAGAGAAATACGAGTTTAGGAGAGTCTGGTGAGAAGGCTATGACAGAGACTTGTTAATTAAGGGATTTGAGGTCAAGAAGGGGCAGAAGTCAAGAGGACAGCAGGTGGGATGCTTAGGATGGCCAGACACGGGGGTCGAGAGTAGGTGAGGGAAAAGCGGAGTTGGGAGACGGGTCCGGGGGAGGAAGCGGAAAGAAAATCAGCAGGTGAAGGAGGGAGAGGACCAGGAGAAGATCCGGTGGCGTCCCCGGGACAGCAGCGAGGTCTGAATCCGGAAGGAAGTCAAGACTCAGCAGAGGATGGGGCAGAGAGCCCCCAGGCATCTGCCGGAGCCAGCTGCAGCTTCACCCCGGGTAGCCTACGGAGGCCTGGCCACCACAGTCCTATCACTGGAGAGCAGCGCCCAATGAGGAGCCTTGGAGAGGCGTAGTCGAGAGCCGCAGCCAATCAACGCCGAGCCGGCTCGACGGCCAATGGGAGGTGCTCCAGGCGACCCGGCCCCCGGAATCCGCCTAGAAGCGGTTGGAGTTAACTCCCCACAGCCCGGCACCGGTACCTGGGCTATCGACTCGGAGTGCTGGGAGGGGTCCCCCGGGAACAGAGTTTTTTAAATCACTGGTAGGGAGGAGGAGAGGTTGGACCCTGGGTCCCTGGACGGGCGCAGAGGCCGAGTGCGGAGACAGCAGTTCATCGGCCTGTTTGGGGCTGCTCCTTTTGAGAACCGAGGGCTCCCCTTCTTCTTCTATCCCGGGTCGTCGCCGGGTGAGGTTGCCAAACTGTAGATCCATTCCTCGGATCGACGTCAGGAGAGCTCGCCCCTGGACTGAACAGATATCCTTAGACTGAGTAAAATATTTGCATAATAGGTTCCGCGGCGGGGATGTGGTGCCTGCGGGTGCAGAGGAAGGGGTCTTGAAGGATCGCAGGGGACATAGTCACATCCTTAGGCTCTTTTGATCCTCACAGCAACCCAGAAAAGGGCAGGCAGGCTGAGTAGGGTGGGATTTTGATCCCTGGGCCTAGGTTATACGAGGCAAGCAAGAGGTGGAAGAGGTCCTGAGACTCTGGACTCCTGTCCTTGTTCATGAGCCTGGTAATGGTTAATTATGCAAGGACTTCTGAGAAAAGAAGGGGAAGGCTTGGAGAAAGATGGCAGGAGAGCAAGGGATGTCTTCTAGGGTGGGAGAAGGAGTTAGGGGGCACAACTGACCCAGAGAATTTTTGAGGTCCAGTTTGGGTCTTCCTGCTTACCAGCTGGATGGCCTTAGGCAAGTTTCTTAACATCTCAGAGCTTTCTCTGTAAAACGGGAATGATAATTATGTATTGTGTAAGCCTGAGTGAAAATGTTTGATTTTCTCTAGGTGCTCAATTAGTCTCCTTGTGCCTTTGCATACCCTGTTCCCATGGCACCCCTTATCCTGGTAACCTCCAAATCACTCTTTAACTTGAGCATCTCTCCTGCTTAAAGCTTTTTAGCCACTTCCATCCTGCTTTGTTCCTCAAGTAAATGAGAAACCTTTGTTTCTGATTTGATTAGCAATTGTTTACTCTGACTCCTCCACTACAATGGGAGTTCTTGGACACTCCTAGGGCTGGGGAGCTGAGTCTGAATCTTTTCTCTCCAGCTTACTGCTAAATCACTGAGATTATGAATTAGGTAGGAGGCGTGGAGCAGATAACGGGGCTTCTCGAGAGGCTCTGAAAAGTTCCCCTGAAAATGTCCAAGGAATGCTCCGCAAATGCCTCCACATGCTGGCTGGGATTATCACCTGAAAAACTGGATTCATCTCAGTGACTGTCGAGTCAAAAGACACAACCAAGCCAAAGAGTGAGAGAAGGAAGATGTGTAAGTAAGGAGAATACCGGCGATGTTTCCCAAAGCAGTGTTTTCCGAACAGCAAAATTAGGGAAGCTGGAAGCTAACGGTATGTGCATATTCATGAAGAGGTTTGGCTGGGGTTTGCTTATTCATGACAGGGCTTGAGCAGAAGAGAATCCAGCACAGAATAGGGGCAAAAGTCTAAGCTTTAGTTGATTGAAATCACAACTGACAAAACAAGGTTAACATCATCATTCCTTAGGTTTCCACCCATCTGCAGGTTTTAGCCAGAAGTTACCATTCCCCACCTGTGTGGGGGGCCTTTGTTCCCCTAGAAAAACTCAAAGATAGGATTGTTATGTATATCCCTTGAGGAGGACCTCAGCTCAGTTCAGTCACTCAGCTCAGTCGTGTCAGACTCTTTGCGACCCCATGGACTGCAGCTCACCAGGCTTCTCTGTCCATCACCAACTCCCAGAGCTTGCTCAAACTCATGTCCGAGTCAGTGATGCCATCCAACCATCTCATCCTCTGTTGTCCCCTTTTCCTCCTGCCTTCTATCTTTCCCAGCATCAGGGTCATTTTCAGTGAGTCAGTTCTTTGCATCAGGTGGCCAAAGTATTGGAGCTTCAGCTTCAGCATCAGTCCTTCCAATGAATATTGAGGACTGATTTCCTTTAGGATTGACTGGTTTGATCTCCTTGTGGTCCAAGGGGCTCTCAAAAGTCTTTTCCAACACCACAGTTCAAAAGAGGAGGGCCCAGGACTCTTTTTTTTTAATCACTAAACTGTTGCTTCTAAAGGCTTTTACTTTGTTCTTGCATTCTTTTGTTCCTCTAAGATTTTAATTACTGAGATCTGTTCTAGGGTAAACATTGTAGCCAGACTTGGATCACGAAATGGCTTCTCTTGTCAAGAAAGCCATGTGGGGTTCTCTCTCTCCGGGACCCCTACCCTATCCTCTTGTAGGATGAGAGCTCATCATTGTTTTAATTTTTGAGTTTGTACCAATGGTTCTCAAAGTACCAGTCCTTGGAACAACAGCAGCAGCACCTGGGGACTTCATGTGTGTGTGTGTGATGTCATGTCCAACTCTTTGCGACCCCATGGACTATACGTAGCCCACCAGGTTCCTCTGTCCATGGGATTCTCCAGGCAAGAATACTGGAGTGGGTTGCCATTTCCTCCTCTAGGGGATCTTTCTGGCCCAGGAAAAGAACCCGAGTGTCCTATGTTTCCTTCAGGCAGATTCTTTACCCCTGAGCCACCAGGGAAGCCCCCGGGGACTTCATAGCAATGTAGATTCCCTAGTCCCACACTAGATCTCTGGCACTGAAGATGGGGCCTGATGAGAGGCTTAACAAAACCCGCTAAGATATTTAGATATGTGCTAAAGTTTTAGAACTACTGGCTGAAGCCTTTCATTTTTAATATCCAGACATCCTACAGATAGACAATTTTTTTTTTTTTAGGAGGCTGAAGCTGTGTTTTAATAAATTATTTTGTAGTGAAAGTACTACCACACAGTCTGGTGTGTTGCCTCTGGTAAGAGTCCTAGTGAGTCCCCCCAAAGTCTCAATTGCTGTGGGGTTGGTTGTCAGTATTTAAATGCACTGTGAGATTATTTTTTCCCTGACACTGTTGGGCCATAGGTGAAGATTTTTTAATAACTGCTGTGCTGGGTCTTATCCCTGAGTAGGGATGGAGCCTGGACCCTCGGCATATGGAGCAGGAGTTTTAACCTCTGGAACACCAGGGAAGCCCCAGGATGACTGATGTGGTTGGACCTGAGACACTTGAGCTGGCTTATATCCCTCTGGTAGTAGGTCATTGGGTTTTCCGCTGAAAACCAAGAACTATTAGACTTGATGCTACTACCACCCTTGGGTGTGAGGCTGGGGAATTTAGCCTAAGAAACAGGGTGACAGGAAAAGCCTGGACTCCAATCCTGTTGTCTTTGTGCCAACATTAAATACACAGATAAAGCCCCATGAGGCTTCACTAATCTTCTGAAAGTGAAAGTGTCCTACTCTTTGCAACCCCGTGGACTGTAGCCTGCCAGGCTCATGGGATTCTCCAGGCAAGAATACTGGAAGAATACTGGAGTGGGTTGCCATTTCCTTCTCCAGACAGAAAGACAACTTTTAAAGTTATTATTTTTAAAACAATCTTAATTTTTAGAACAGTTTTACATTTATAGAAAAATTATAAAGATGCTATGAGAGTTCCCACATCCAATTTCCTTCATTCAGTTCAGTTCAGTTGCTCAGTCATATCCGGTTCTTTGCGACCCCATGGACTGCAGCATGTCAGGCCTCCCTGTTCATCACCAACTCCCTGAATTTACTCAAACTCATGTCCATCGAGTCAGTGGTGCCATCCAACCATCTCATCTTCTGTTGTCCCCTTCTCCTCCTGCCTTCAATCTTTCCCAGAATCAGGCTCTTTTCAAATGAGTCAGTTCTTCACATCAGGTAGCCAAAGTATTAGAGTTTCAGCTTCAGCATCAGTCCTTCCCATGAATATTCAGGACTGAGTTCCTTTAGGATGGGCTGGTTGGATCTCCTTGCTGTCCAAGGGTCTCTCAAGAGTCTTCTCCAACACCACAGGTCCAAAAGCATCAGCTCTTTGGCGCTCAGCTTTCTTCACAGTCCAACTCTCACATCCATACATGACTACTGGAAAAACCATTTCCTTCATTATTAATATCTTACATTAATATTGATGGGGATAGAATAGGATAGTCATACAGTTAGTTGTAGAAGTCCCAGTAGGGGACTATAGATAGAGAAGGAAACCTAGAAAACTTTGGGAGACCACTGTAAGTTAATGATCGCTCAAGAAAGTTATTGGAACATTGTTCAATGAAGTAGGCTTACTTAACTATAAAGCCATAAACAAAACCACAAGGCCAGTAGATGGGAGGAAAATGTCACCACCCTTCTCCTAATGCAATAATCCTAGTTTGAC